GCTAGAGTCCCAGGGGCGCCCGCATGGGTTCCACGTATCTTGCGCTTGCCGCGCGAAATCTGACGTCGCTCAAGCCCGCCATACTGCTTCGCAAGGTTTGGGGTGCCATCCTCAAGGTTACGACAAGCCCAGTCTGGACTCGCCAACTCGCCAGGCCCACTGCGCGCGCGGTCGCACTGCCGAGGCACTTGCACAGGCGGCGCGACGGAAATTTAGCGAACGACCATATTGAAACATGAATGCTTCGGTCATGCGCGCCGGCGCCTGCTTGCAGGGGGTGGGGGGGACTTCCTCGCTCCAGCATTTCGCCTTGAAGGCTTGGTAGATGTGCGGGACACTAGTTTGGCTGGACATCCCCCCCCCGCGGGCCCGGAGGCTCTGATATCAGAAAAAGATACGCAAAGCACTCGCCAGCGGTGAGGAGCATGGGAGAGAATGCCCAGCCCGCGAACCATAGTCAAAACAAGGTCTACGATCCACATGCCGTCGGGGCCCTTGTCCTCGATCGCGATAGCCGCTTGGCGAAACTCGTTGCGTGCCCCGGAACACTTCCGAACGTGGTCCTGGAACATCTGAGAAGGCGACGGCGCCGCCGGGCCGCGTCGACGTTCGGGCAAGCGAGGAGGGGCGGGAAGAGGAGCAGAGGATGCACCATGGCATCCCCGCAGGCCCTGTCGCTGTGCCCGCGCCCGACACGCCGAGTATATGTCGCTCAGTCCTGGCGTGGCACTCGGGACAGGCATCCTGGCATGAGACAGACATCTTCTGCACGTCCGAGCCTCGCGCGGCACGCTCGTATATGGGTGCGCCCAAGACGTCCAGGTCTTCAAACCGCAAGCGTTGAACACGCGCGTGGGAAGTCGCGGAACGCACGGCGAAAGTTCGGAACACGTTTTGCCAAGAAACGAACTTGACTCCCTACAAGTCCAGCCCAGCCTGGCCAGGAGGCACGCAGACGTCGGAACGCGCCTCGGAGCCATCTTTGGGCAGCTGTCTTTTCGTTCTCCCCTGGCACCTCAATAATACTGCGTCCAAGATTTGGGCGGTTTTGCATCTCGAGATATATCCGAAGGGACGTTTTGCACAAGTACTTTGTCCATCCGGCACCCAGAACACATATGCGTAATCACTCCCACTGGGTCGTGCTCTGAATGCTAGGTCCCAATCAACATGAAGAAGGTTCATGTACGCCCACTTGAGTAATAGCTCAGTCAGCTTCGGATCGTAGGTAAAAAAGGGCCCTTGGGCACCACGTGTGTGCGCGTGTGCGTGTGCGTGCACGTGTTCATTAAAATCTCCACGTCTGAAACGCAGCATGTAACTCAACAAACTTCAAGCGTAACATATCCTGCCCACACCACGAGCCTTCATATACCATTGGCGACCAAGGTGCCCAGAAATCAAACCACCAATTCTATCTTCCATCCACTTCTGGCTCTCATCACGGGGAACATGATCGGATGCCAGGACAAGTCTTCTGGCGCGCCGTCCTCGCCCGCGGCGAGGGTGGTTCCTGTTCCTCGCTCGTGCGCGCCCTAGTCTCACATTTTGCAAATTATTCGCAAAGGGTCGTGAAAGCATAATGCGGGCACTTTCCAAGCCTACAATCTCTGAGGTTGGGGCGATAAGGACGAAGACGCATAATGGCCAGCTCGTGCAGCCCGCTCGCAAGTCGCAGTGCCGACTGACCTCTGTTATGGATAGCCCGCGGTGCACCTGAAGGAGACCACCACGTCCGATGCGCAGCGCCTCTGAGCCCAGCTGACACAAGAAACTGCCAGGTCCACGCCCAGACAAGCCCAGGCCACGTAACACACATGAGCTGGAGGTGGTAGAAAGATACAAGCTCGGCGGCATGGTGCAATCGTACAAGGCCTTGGCGAAACAGCGCCTTGGACGTGAGGGGGTGGATGGACCGGCATAAAACCGTTGCCTTCCACCTCTGTCGTCGTCCCGAGGCCCCCAAAGAGCGAATGCGCACAATCGGCAAGAAACGTCCTGAAGGATACCTGGGCGCCCAAGATGCAGAACCAACTCCTGCTGGATTTTGCGAAGAGCGTCTACGAACTTGTTGGAGGGTTTGTCCACCAAAACTTGCCACAGTCCACCAATAAACACAGAGGTCACTTCAGGTCGTATCATCGGGTCCCGGCAGAATATATCAGATTCCAAGGAACCACGCAGTCCATGCACGTGGCCGACATACACGCTCATGCCCAGCAGCTGTCACAGGAACGTCCCAACAATCGCGCCCATGAGGCCAGTATGGCCAACTTCGCAGCACGGCCTCCTGGGAGAAGGTAACAAATGCAGAGCAGCCAATCCAAACCAAGCGGTAAACGAGCAACGATGCAAACCACAAAAGGAAAAGGAGGAGCACCGCCAGGAGGAAGTTGTAATCGAATTGTACAAACATGAACTCACAGAGAAAGAAGTACCACAACATTGATACGGATGTGAACGTGGCACCAGAAAGACACATGGTCAAATTGTTGGTAACATCCACCACGGCTGCGGTACACAGCAACTGCCTGCCACTGCTCCGTGCCCGCCGTGAACACACTTCGATGTGCAGAAGAACTCGGAAGGGATACGTATTTGTCGGTGGTTCCCCTTGCAGTCCTCTTGAGGTTTCATCGGCACCCATCCAGCTGCACCCCCTTTCCATTGGGGTGGCGTTCGACCTCAGAGCACGATATTTTCGACATCTATGAACATGAATGCTCTGTGAACCCACGACGTGTGCGCCGTCTTCACGGCTTGAGCGCTAGCCTAAGCCCGCAGAGTGTGTCCCGCAAGCAAATCAACTGCGTGCGCATAAACATGCATGGCGTGCAAGGAAGAGGCTTCAAAAGTTGCGCACTTGGTGGCTCCCCTCCCTCTGGGCCCGCTGGTGCATACATAATCTATTAGCAAGAACGGTCCCCCTAGATAACCGACGAGAAATCCTTAAAAACATAGCCTTGCTATATGCTGATGCAGAAACAAAGAGCACACACACACACACGCACAACATGCACACATACACACACACACACTTGGCACACCCTCCCGCGTAAAAAGGACCACATTCGCCGACCTCTCCACTTCCGCAGACCTCTCACGCGCTTCGTGGCCCCATCAGGAGCTCCACCGAACGCCCCCCTGGGTAAGGCCGCATGCCGCCCACTCGCCACTTTGGCACACACCTCACATGTTTCGTGGTCTTAAAGGGGGGCTCCACTGAATGTCCCAATGAGAAAGTCCGCATGCCACCACCACCCCACTTTGGCAGAACAATTACACACTTCATGGCCCCATAGGGAGCTTCACCGAAGACCCCAGTGTGAAAGGCCGCATGGCATGCGAACGACCCCACGTTTTGTGGCTCCATGGGGAGCTCCACCGAAGGCCCCAATATCACAGTTTCCGTGGCCTCACAGGTGTAATCCACCATTCCTTTCCGCACGGCGCAGCCCTTGTGTTGTGCCCTAGGTGGCTCGCTCTGGGTCCAGAGGCAAACACGGCCCCGTTGCGTCTCGCACAAGTGCTTCACCCCGAAGTCGCTCGCGTTGCAGCCGATCTTGCCTTCGCCCATTTCGGAGCCGCATGACTGATCCCAGTGTTCCCCCTCTTATATGGTATCAAACTGCATTTTCGGTCATCGGGTTTCCTTGCCAGACAGGCGCCGCCTGATCCGCCCGCCGACCCCCGTCCACGCTGCCCTGTGACTCGTCTTTTTTTTCGGCGCGCTGCCTATGAAAAGCGGGCCCACCGCATCCGAGGTTATTTGCAGTTCGCTCGCCTCCGTCAGTTCACCTGTCTTGCTGGACTCGCCACTGTGTATGGCTGGGTCCTTCGCCAGGACTTGTTGTTGTTCACGGTGTCCCTAACAAACACTCGCCTGCACTGGTCCTGTGGCCAGGCTTTTTTCACTCGGCGCAACATTCAATGTTTCAAGAAACAGTTGTATGCCTGCAGAGAGCCAAATCCGCCGACCCTTCGGCGTGTGAAGAACGCTGTGGTCGTCTTCGTCGTCGTCGTCGCCGCCGCCGCCGCCGCCGTCATCGTCGTCGACGTCATCGTCGTCGTCGTCGTCATCGTCGTGGTCGTCGTCGTCGTCGTCGTCAGCGTGGTCGTCGTCGTCATCTTCGTCGTCGCCAGTCCCACGAGAGAAAGAAACGAACATAACGCCGGTAGACAATAAACGTCGTACTTGAGTCGCTTCCCGCCCCTTTCTCCTCTCCCTGAGGGGGGGGTACGGTGGGGTGGGGTGGGGTAGGGGGGGGTACGGTGGGAGGGGTCCTGGGTCAGATGGCCGCACCGCCCCCCTGGGTTCCTGGCGGGTCCTGGGGGGTGCCCATGTGAGCAGGGAAACAAGGGGAACCACCCCCTTCTGGAGGGGTCGCCAGCGGGTGTCCCAGGGAAAGTCCCGCCTGCGGTGTGGCGGGGGTCTCGGGTCAGAATGCCGCCCCCTCCAAAGGTCCTCGCGGGGCCTGGGGGAACCGTGGGCGAGGATCCCGGGAGAGGTCCCGCCTTCAGGGTCGGCGGCACCAGCCGTCACCCCTTCACATCAAGAGGATGGTCAGTGGAAGAGGCAGTACGTGCACGTCAGAGGTGTGTTGGCACTCGGGCGAAACAGAGAAGATCTGACCGAGTAATCTGACCGAGTGATCAGCGACGGAGGACGCCTCCGGCAATGGTGCTTGCAGTCCGGCGTATCTAGCTCTAAACCGAGCATTCGAGAAGATGGTCGTCACGACATTCTAGCGGCGAGAGAGGACCTCCCCCTCAGTGCTCCTCTGTACCCGTCGGTCGGGAGATGTAGGTAGAAACATGAAAAAGGAAGGTGGATACAGTAGGTTGGTTCCAGGCCCTCCCAGAGAAGAACAAGACACAGCACAAACATATCGATTATTGAAATAGGAAGGCGATTGAAATGGATTGGGATCTGGGAATCCAAAAAGACCTACTTTCAACGACCGGCATGTACCATCCCCTTCCCGGCCCAAGGGCCCCTCCGGCACGCGTTCGTCAGAGTGATCCGCCGCACGCCGAGCTGCGCCAGCGTTGACCAGAGCCGCATCATGACCTCGCTTCGCGGGCACGCTGGTGGAGGAAGCAATGAAAGGGTGGGAAGCACCCAAACCTCCAGGCGCCGCGAAAAATCACGGCTGGCATTTTTCCATTGATTTCGAACGCGTCTTTGGCCCTGGGGGAATGCTTCGGGCCTTGAAAAAAACTCGCTTCGGGGCCTGGAGCTATCAACCAATTAGCGTGGCGAAGAACCCATCCCCATGAAGCTGCGTGTTGCGCAGGGCGCACCTCTCTTCACATACTGTGCGCCGCGTGGCAGTGCGGATAGCGGACCGCGGAGCCCGCGGGGCCCGATCTGCGTGAGGGGGCTGACAAATGTGGCGGACCTTCCCCACGCGAACGTGCACACTGAAGCCATGAGGAACTTCCTGTGGGGCCCGATCCGAGTAGGGTTGAGCAAATATGAGCAGCGGGACGGAAAAGGGCTGGCGGCCAGAGCTGGAGGCCCGTAGTTCCACGAATCTGCATCGCGGGGCGGTGGCTGACCTCCGACAGGGAGAACTGCGCCTCCGCATCGCCAGGAAGAATTGTGTGCCTCTCCCAATTCGATGTGCAATGACACCCATCATGAGGGCAAGATAAGTAGCCATGAGTGCCTGCTAGCCCCCCAAACCCGTTGAGGACCACGGCCCGCGCTGTGCCTAGCTGTGGTGCAGCGGTGCACACAGTGGGCGGACCAGAAGTGCGCTCAGCCTGGGGCGGACCAAGCGAATGCTTGGAAAACTGCCGCGGACTAGCGGTACCCGTGCAATCCCACAGGGCATCAAACATCTTGAACCAACATGGTTTCGGTGGGGGAGAAGGAGGAGGAGGAGGAGGAGGAGGAGCATGAGGAAGAAGGGGAGGAGGAGGAAGAGGAGGAGGAGGAAGGGGAGGAGGAGAGGAGGAGGGAGGAGGAGGAGGAGTAGGAAGAGGAGGAGAGGAGGAGGAGTAGGAGGAGGAGGAGGGGGAGGGGGAGGAGGGGGGGGGAGGAGTAGGAAGAGGAGGAGGAGGAGGAGGATTGGATTCGCACACCTTCAGCGCCAGCCTTGTTTCTGTCATGGTGAGTTGGCAACACTCAAACTATAGCTCGCAAAATCGCGCAATCGTGAGTGGTGATATTTCGCACAACTGCGAATGGACTCTGGCACGGTGAACCTCTGACTTTAAGAGGAAAGTGCATATGCCAGGTTCTATGCACAAGGGCCGCAGCTCGGGCCCCGAAGGGGACCAGCCTGGCCCAGGCAGCCACCGACGCATGAGGTAGCCACGAGGGACCAAGGAAACTACGGGGTAGCTCGTGTTTTAGCTCTGCTCGGAATGTGCCTACGCTTGAAAAGTGTCTCGACTGTAGCGGTCCCTGGGAAAACCCCGCGCGATGCTGACTATTCCGTGATTATGTGGGCATCCGAGGGACGAGCGAGGGGAGGTGGCGGAGGAGGGGGAGAAACATGTGAAACAGGGGAAGCGGCCTCAGACGTGTTCAGCTCCTGGTGAGGCGGTTGAGGTGGAGGGTTATCAGCAGCAGCGGCAAACAAATCATTCTTCTCCTCCGTACTCCTCAAGAAACTCTCGCGCGTGCCTAAATCCAGGGTGGAGTATCACTTGGTATATGTAGTATTTGCAAGTCGTCACCAATGTCCCCATATGCACTCAAATAATAGCCTGCCTGACTTGTGTCGGTCACCGTCACTTCAGTAGCGTCTCGAGAAACTGCTGAATATCTCTCTCCTTCTCTGTCTCTCTCTCTGTTCTCTCTCTCGCTCTCTCTCTCAGGCTGCTGCAATTCGGCCGTGCTTGCACTTCATGTTGGGGATCTGCGTCATCGAACTGATCAGTAGGTGCCGACATGTCGGGTCTCGACAGGCTATCGTCAAGCGGCGCTGCTCCTTGTGGTAAATTTCGTCTTGGCGGCAGAATAGAACGAGCCCGCACTTCGTGTCGACTCGGTATTCCCCGTGCTCCTTGAAGCTTTGCGATACTTGTCGAGCGTTCTGCGCACCGATCGCTTCCCCTAGGGACGCCAGTCCACTGAGCAGTCCTCCCATTGCCCATATGAGCGGTGGGCCGAGATCTTGGTCCTTGCCTGCTTTCTTCACGGCTTGCGCGTAAAGGAAGGTCTGCTCGGTCATCATGGTGATCAGCACGCATGTGGCTGGGAAAATGAAAATGTCGAGTGCGACTCCGGCTAGATCTCGCCCTTGTTGGCTTACTTTTAGCAACTGCTTCATGAAGAGACAGAGTCGCTTGCGAGTGGGATCGTCGGTCTTTCTTTGAATGCGACCGATACTTCTTCTGCTTTGCCCAACCCCTCGGTTTTGTTTGTTCTTCTTCGGGTCTTTCTCGTTGCCGTGTGACAGGTCGGGGGCCTCAGACTTCGTTGTAGATCCTTCTGGGGTCTCGAGACAATCAAGCATGATTTAACCGCGGAAGAGGGTGTGGTAGGTGAGATTCTCGAAGATGCCGAAACAATGAAAGATTTGATTCCAACACTACGGAGGACTCAAGGCATATCGGGCAGTTCCATTTGTCCAATTGTTTGGGTTCCCAAGACATATGAGCGCGACCCATAGCACAACGTCCATAGCCGTAAGGTTGTTTAAGATGTTTCCGAATGTTGTCCACATCCCGAAAGGTGCTGAGGTAATTGGGGCATTGATTTGTAGTAACCCCGCTATGTAGTATATATTGCACGCGATGTCCATATGTCTGGTGTCCCATTCGTGCCCGATAAGTATCTTACTGGAGACCACATGGGGAGCCCTGGGAGTCCTCGATCATACATGTGAATATGTTGTTGCTCTTGGTTTCAGGACAATGTAGTTCTGGACGGAGTGAGCACAATTTATCATATTCCGCAAACGCAGCGGCCCTGAGAATAGAGGGGTCCAATTTCAAGAACTCATGGGAGGAGTCGGACGCGGGGTCGAAGAGCGCCTTCCAGGAGAAACCACTATCTTCCCAGACTTCGGAAACAACTCTCGGTCCCGCTGATCCCACTGTAGAGCTGGAGGTTCTGGTCAAAGGTTTTCGCCCACGGGTTGGCTGCGTCACTGAGCCGTCCACAGTCCTGTAAAGTGGGAGCCTCGTCCAAGAGGTGGCCAAAAATCGCTGCAACTGTCTGACAGTGCGCGTGCCGGTGCAGAAACATGCTCTGTAACCATTTGATTCGGCGTACCGCCAATTCCCCACTGCAGGGAAGAATACGCGCACCTCTGAATTCCGAAGAGGGTGAGTGTGAGAGCCGTCGTGGAAAGTAGCAGCACCTCTCATCAGAAGTCGGAAATACTTGACGATACCCGAATTAATCTTCTGGTAGTCGGTGGGAGACAGAGCGAAAGCCTCAAGACCTGTGATGCCACTCTCCACTACTTTGCCCAGGAACAGCTCACGCTTCAAACGTCGTAAGCCTCGCTCGTGCCAAAATAAACCTATCACTGACCAGCCTGCATGTATTGCTCGAATACGAAACTCCAGCTCGATGGCGTTGGAGCCGCGCATGTGGTGGCGTGCACCTACGTGTCTCGCGCATGTGCGTACCGTGCCGTAGCTACTGGAGCAACTCTCCTGGAGAAGTTTGTTCGAGGTGTGTGATCCCAAACACGGAATGTTGTCTTGTTTCCGCATGTTTTTGCGGGAATGCCATTTGCCCAAAATGTTATTCATGCTTTCGTCTCCAAGTCGAATGGCCTCCAGTGCTCCTGAAACCGAAGAGTCTTTTAGAAGTCGACGGCGCAATAGATCATCAGCAAAACCTACCATGGAGCAGTCCAGAGTAGGGGTCCCGAAAGCGCTGTAGATATAGATGGAATCCTGGAGGTCCTCGCAGACCATATCCTCATATTGAATGAGGAAGAGGAGGAGGAGGAGGAGGAGGAGGAGGAGGAGGAGGAGGAGGAGGCGGCTCTCGAAGCTACGCAAAGGCTACACATGTCTCGGGATGGTCCTGGGGGATCTGGGGGCTCGGGGGAGTCAGGACGGCAGGTGCACCTTCTGCTCCCCCCTGGCTCGGGAGCAGCGGCCGCTCTGGGAACGCCGACGTGCTCTGGCCCCACAGCCTCGCGTGCAGCAGCTGCGGCCCCGGATCCAGGAAGGCCGCCGCCGGAAACGCGTGAACGGTCCAACCAACCGCTTCCGTGACGAGCTCCTTGTGTGACGAGCCTCTCGCCCTCGAGACTCCACTCCAGCCGCCTGCACACGTCATGGAGCGAGGCGAAGAGGTCGTCACGGAAGGGGGTCGGTTTGCCAGGGGCCGGTCAGGCCGCTCCTGATCCTCCTGCCGCAGCACGACCGCGCGCGGCCCTTCCCACCCCGACCGCGCCCCGCCGGCGACGGCGCGCACCGGTCGGCCCTCCCCCGGAGGCAGCCGCCAGCAGCGGGCCGGCGGCGCGGCCGTCCTCGGCTGGCGCCGTCCCCAGCCAGCACCTCCGCAGTCGTCGCCAGGCAGGGCGGCGCGGCCGCCGCTAGTCGCGGCTCGCCCGCAAGCCCGAGCAGTAGCTGCGGGACGCCGAGGCGGCCGCAGGCGAGCGCGAGCGCGAGGCAGGCACCACACGCGAGGCCGGCGGCGTGCCTCACGCTCGCCATGAGCTGGCTTCGGCCTCGAGCCAAGCCACGGAGGAGGAGGAGGAGGAGAAGGAGGAGGGCTCAAGACATCTCGGCTCAAAGGGCCGGGGTTGTCGCCTCGCGAGAGCTGAAACCGGCCCTAGGCATCGGCCATGAGCAGTGCGATGTTTCCTCCGTCTCTCACGCATCCAAAGTCGCATGCATCAAGAAAGGCGAGTCGCATCCGAAGTCCCGTGGGGAGGCGAAGGGGAGCCTGTGCGAGAAGGGTGGGCGGCGAAGCCCAGGCACTGTGAGGAGTGTGGGTGGCGAAGTATAGCCATGCGAGAATATTGCGAGAAGGCGGTAGGGGAGCCGGGGCGAGTGAGAAGAAGCAGGCAGAGTTAGCTTCTTCGAGTTTAGTTTGGTCCCCTCAGTGCGTAAGGATCCAAGACCGCAGATCGCAGTCGCTCGCGGAGGAGGAGGAGGAGCAGGAGGAGGAGGAGGAGGAGGAGGAGCAGGAGCAGGAGCAGGAGCAGCAGCAGGGGCAGGGGCAGGGGCAGGGGCAGAAGAAGCGGCTGCCTTGAGTTCCAGGCGTCGCACTTTCTTCACGGGCGCTTTCGCCCAGTTTCGGGCCCCAGGGTATCCGGCTCGGGAAGTGCTGCAATACAATTGTTCTATAGGGCTCCAGGTCGTGATCTCTGGCGGTGCTGTTCTGTTCGCAACGTCGGGCCTCAGGGCAGGAACACGTAGGCCGAGAGCGGGAGCGGGGGGCGGCATCGGTGGATTCTGCTCGACGTCCACACGCCGTGGCCCAGTTGGTCGACCATCCACTGAAGCCGAGCAGCGGCATTTGCACCACTGAGGCAAGCCCTGGCCAACGCGTGCCAATCAACACCGCGCGGCGGTGGTATCAAGAGGGCCATCAAAGCAGAGGTCTTGGAGCACTGGCCAGCATGCCCCCCCCCTTCTCGAACCTCCCGTGTCCTCCATCCGCCTCCTCCCTCCTCTGTCCTCCTCCCCCTCACTCCTCTGTCCTCCTCCCCCTCCTCCTCCGAGGTGGGGTACGCCCATCGCCTGCCTTGGGGCGCGGCAAGGCCAGCAGCAGCTCGACCTGGCCAGGGAGGCCGCCGGGCCCTGCTGCTGACCCCCCCCCCAGCGCGAGGCGATAGACAGGGCGGTCGAAAAGGAGCGGAGGCGACATCCAGGCAATCGGAAGGCGGGAGATGATAAGAAGATCGAGGGTCGGAGGGGCCGAGGCATGTTGGCGATCTGTTATAAAAAAAAACATGCGAGCACCGGGGTCAGCGGCTCGAACCCCTGAAATCGGCCCACGGACCCGCCCGAGGGCGTCCTCAGCGTAGCGACACGGGCCCCCCCCAGGAGGCCGAACAATCAAGAATAAACATCAAAATCCCCGCATCCTCCCAGTCTCCCTCCTCTCCCCTCCCCTCCCCTCCTCCTCCTCGGCCTCCCCCTCCCCTCCCCCCCTCCTCCTCGTCCAACTCGTCCAACTCGTCCAACTCCTCCTCCTCCTCCTCCTCCTCCTCCTCCTCCTCCTGCTCTCCTCTTCCTCTCCTCTTACTCCTGTTCCTTCTCCCCTCAAGCTCATCCGATCCATATTCTATATCTGTATGCTCTGCCATCTGACCACCTAGCCGGCCGATCGCCGCGCAATCCGCGACGTTTCATCCCACCTGCAAGAACAATATACAAACTCGACGCTTTTGCAGCATGAACGTTTTGTCGCTGACCTGGGAAAACGCTTGGCCTGAGTGAAACGGGGCGCACATCCCGCGCGAAAAGGCGAAGGCCGCACTCGCCACAGCGCGGCAATCATGTTCCTGAGAATTCAGCTCCCGCATTGGCTCGCCAAGTCGTCGACAACGGGGTCGCGCGCGAGCGGACGCCCCTGTCGGCGCTCCCGCCTTGGCGTGTATTTTTCACTTGCCAAGTGGTTTGGGGCGGGGCCGCGCGCCGTGCGGAGCTCGCCTGGCGCTCCCGCTTGGGCGCGGCGCCTGCTCCGCTCGCCGAGCTGAGTGAAAGCAGCGGCGGCAGCGGGGCCGTGTGAGAGTGGCCTGATGTCCTCGCCCAGTCGCCGCGCAGCTTGCGCTGGAACGTGACAGTGTTGCGTAATAGTGGCAGTGCTGTTTCGGCGCGCGCTTCGTCCTCGCGGCGCTCATCGAAAACGTTGCCTAAATTGTGCTCTCGCCGGAGCGCCGAGCAATGTTTGGCTGAAGCTCCGCTCCCGCCCGTGCAGGACCCGTGCCGCTTTTCCCTCGCCATATCGTCGGAAGCGGGACCGCGCGCGAGCGCCTTCCGTTCTCTGGAGGGGCACGCGCTCCAGCCCCCAAATGAATTGTGGCACAGCCATTGCAGGGAAGGAAGGGGCGGGAAGCTAGTGCGAGAAGGGACTGAGGAAGCCTTAGGCTTGCCTCAGCCAATCTGGTGAACCCGAGATTCGCATCGCACAGCGCAGTGAAGCACCGGACACGTTCACCAGAGGCCCAATTTGGCTCCAGCCCTTTTGGCTCATGGCATCATCGGCTCAAGCCATTTGGGCTTGAGCGTCTTGGGCGGCGCGCGACGCGCGGGGCGCGGCGGATCGGGCGGCTGCGCGGCTAGGGCGGGCCACGGGCCATGTTCGACGGGCCCTGCAGGGCGGGCGACGGCGCCGGCGCCCCGGGGCCCGTTATCGCGGCAGGGTGGATGTGGGGATGGGTCTTGGCCTTGGCGCCATGTCCCCCCAGTGCGCCAAGCTGCCGGGAGCTGCTGGGCCCCGCCGGTGGCGGCACCTCAGCAGCAGCCGCGCCGGCGCCCACTGCCAGCGAAGCGCCCCTCCACCGGGTGGGCTGGGCCGCTACTCGGAGGAGCAGGAGGGGCCGTGCTCTGGCATGCGAGCGCCAAGCCCCAGCAGCTCCTTGCGTGGGGCGGGTGCCAGCAGGCCGACGGCGGCGCGGGGCCAGCAAACGCAGCGGGCTGCGCCGCCACCGAAGGCCCAGCCGAAAAGCAAACTGGCCCAGCCGCGGCCGGCGCACGCACAGCAGCGGGCGCCGAGGCCGACCGAGGCGGCTGGCGTGCAGCCCCCGCGCGCCAACTATTACTGGGCGCCACTTGCGGCTGCACCGGCGCCGAGCGCACCGCAGCCCGCGCAGAGAGAGCCGGAGCCGCTCCAGGTCGTCGCCTCGCCGGCGGCGCCGCGCCTGGACGCGCAGCTCTCCCCCCGCCAGGACCGGCGCGCGCCAGCGCCAGCGCACCGGGGTACGGCCGGCCAGAGATGCCGCGGAAGCGGCCCAGCGGGGCGGCGGGGGCCGCGGCAGCACCCCCGAGGGGGGTCGGCCCTTTTTCCCTGGCGGGAGCTAGCGTGCCCGCGGCCTCCAGGGCAGCAGCCACCGCAGCTCCGGCACGGGCAGCTCGTGCGGCAGCACGGGCGGCTCCTGGCCCCCCGGGGGGCGGAGCGATTCTCCTCGCAGCAGCACCGCCCCCCACCGTTCCAGCGGCGCAGGCCCAGGCGCCAGCAGGAGCAACGCCAGCGGCGACACACCCAGGGGCGGGCGCAGAGGCGGCGCGACGGCGGGGAGCGGGAAGGAGCAGCAGCTCGAGCTCGAGCGACAGCCCGAGCAGCAGCACGGCCTCGACAGCGGCATGCGGCTCCTCCAGGAGCCGGAGGCGACGCGGGAAGAGTTGCCGCGGCGGCCGCCGGCGCGCCCGCCGGGCCTGGAGCGAACCCGGGCCCGATGCCTCCGCCCGCGGCGGCAACTGCTCTCGAGGTGCACGGCTGGGGTTTCCCGCCTCCCCCGCCAGGCGGCAACGCACCAGCCGGGCACGGAGAGGAGCCAGAGCTTCGGGCGCTCTGGGAAGCTGGCGAGCGGGTGTGGCGCTGCGCCAGCAAGCGGCCGCCCTGCGTGCTTCCGTGGGCGACGGCGCCAACGGGGCGCGAGCGGGGGCGCTGCTGCTGGAAGAGGCAGAGGCGGGCGACCCCGGCGCCCACGGGCCCGCTGCGCTCTTCGCGGTAGCCAGGGCCGTGCTGGGCGACCCGCTGCGGCAGAGGCGCCGCCACGCCACCTGCCTGCTGCGGACTGCGCGGGCTCTGGCGGGCAACTGGGCGCGCGCGCGTCCCCCCCATCCCTTCCCCCCCCCCCGTCGTGTCGTCCCTTGTCCGTTGTCCATCCCTCCTCTGCCACTGGGCCCCTCTTGCGTCGGCTTCAAAAATGGCCCACAAACCGAGCGTTGGACCAGCAGCTCTGACGCCACAAGAAGGTTCCTCCTCCACAAGGCTGACCCCCCCTTCCCGCCCCCGCTTCGAAAGAACACGCCTTCGGACACCAGGCCCTCACCTGAGCTTCTGGGCTTCAGGAGCGGAGATGGGGACTTGAATCGGGTCATATCGCTTTGGAACAGCGCCTCAGGATTCTCAAGGTCACTTTGAAAGTGTAATTGGCAGAGATCCTCAGGAGCTCAACAATCGGGATCTCGTGGTGCACCTGGGTTCCAAGACAGGCGTATCGGTCGGCTTGACGCTTGCCCTCCCGCCATGCCAACATCAAACCAACACGCATTACCTGAGCATCACTTTTGCGGGACTCTCTTGGCCAATATTCCTTCAAGAATATCTGGGGATCTGAGGCGAGTCTCCTCGGTATCGGGGGCCCTCCTGGGAGCTCCAGGGCGACATCCGTTTCCTCATTCTCCTCTACAATTACTTAATATGAATACTACTCTCCCTCTTCCCCTGATGGCGTGCTGGGAATATTCGACCCCCCCCGCGTACTGTTTTTTAAACCCCCGGATTCCCGGGAGTTGGTCTTTCCCCTGCGTTTATTTTTCTTGTTTTCAAAATGCTGCTCTCGCTGAGGTGCCGGCCTCATTTCTGCTCCCGAATCGTTCCGAATCGTGCTCCCGCTGCAGCGTGGGCCTCATTTTCGGATCGGTGTTTTGCCTCCGTCGTTCAGGATGGCGTTCTCGCCCCAGCGCGGGCCTCTTTCTCGCGCGCCCATCCGCCCGCCACCACCGCGCCGCACCACGCCCCGCCCCGCCGCACGCACACCCACCGCCACTTCCACCCACCAACGCACGCACGCACGCACGCGCACCACCACCGCGCACCGCCACCACCACCGCACTACCCCACCCACCACCACCACGCTACACCGCGTCACACCACATCACACGCGCGCACACACAGACACACACGCACGCACGCACGCATGCACACACACACATACACATACACACGCACACACACACACACGCACACACACACAGACACACACACACACACACACACACACCACCACCGCCACCACCACCACCGCCATCACGCACGTACGCACCTGGCCCACCACCAAACCACCAAGACGCCACACCACGTCACACCACAGCACACGCGCACACACGCACACACACACACACATACACACCACCACCACAACAACCACAACCACGCACACACGCACGCACGCACGCGCACCACCACCCACTACGCACACGCGCGCGGAGCCACAGGTCCGCTACGACACGCGTCCGCGGATAGAGAAAATCAGCGCCATGGTAAGGGATGGGAGGGAGGGGTAGGATGTCAGATGTTGACGAGAGCGCACCTAACTTGCCTCCCCCCCTCCCTTCGTCCTGCCTCCAGAGTGTCTCCGTACTCTCTCGCTTTCCTCCCCCCCTATGCTTCCTGCCAAGTTTCCACCCCGCCCACCCCCTCCCCTCTTCCATGGCCTTCACCCCAGGGCTAACGATGATAGTACGAGTACGATACCCAAGCTCTGCAGGAATATGCGCAACTGCTACGCGACAGGGACATGTCTAGTAGCACGAGCGTACCAAGTGACCCCGGTGCGCACAATGCCTACAACGTCTAGTTTGGTCACAATCACAACTTCGAGGCTTTGCAAGGAATCATACCACTACTACCCTCGTCAAAATTACCCTCAAAAATGGCGACCGCGCCCCGAACTTGCAATGCAGGGTTTCGAAACGAACTACCCTGGTCAAAATTACCATCAAAAATGGCGACCGCGCCCTTGCGATGCCTGCGCGCCCTTCAATGTCGATAGACGCCCCTCCAATGTCGGGGCCAAGGCAAAAGTGGTCTGACCGGGAACGCCTCGGAAGTTCGATGATGCCCGACATTGGAGGGGCGGCGCATACAAGTACCTCGCAGTCACCGCAACTCTGTCCAGTACCTCCCCACGAACAGTTCAGCCACGCAATACATGTTTGAGATACACGCATGGGTGCTCTAACGTGTGGAGAAAGGGAATAAAATACAGACACGTGGTGTTTCGAGCATGTACATGTTATCGTAACCTGGGGTGACATGTTCTCATGCTTTCCCACTTTTTGAGTTTCGTGCTACTCGGCCCTCCTCTCCATTACCCGTCCGCTGCAATATTAGGAACAGGAGGAAGAGGAAACGTAGGAGGAGGAGGAGGATGAGGAGGAGGAGGAGAAGCACCAGCAGCAGCAGCAGCAGGAGGAAGAGCAGCAGGAGCCATATACTACACTCACAGACCCCCCCCCGAAGCGGCACGCCAGAGGCGTCCGCGCAGACCCAGGGCGGCTCCGGCGGCGCGGGCGCGAGCCGCAACGCCCGGGGCAGCACGGCGACCGCCGCAGGGGCCTGGGCCGACGGCGGCGCCGACGACAATCGCCGACGGCAATCGCCAACGCCAACGGCAGCGGCGACGACCGCGGCTCCGACGGCGCCGATGGTGGACACGGCGCTGCCGCCGACGACGGCGACGCCAACGACGACGGGATGATGTGGAGGCGGAGGAGGAGGAGGAGGAGAAGGAGGAGGAGGAAGAGGAGGAGGAGGAGGAGGAGGAGGAGGAGGAGGAGGAGGAGGGGGAGGAAGGAACGCACGTAGCTGGGGGAGACAGGTGACACCTTAGCCGCTCGCGCCGATGGTCAGCTTCGTTGCGCGAAGACGCCGCAGATGGGCTTCGAACTCGCAGAGCCGAGAGGGCGAGGGCTCATGCTCAACCTTCAGCTTGTGGTGCAAACGAATCCGAGAACGTGCAATCGATGGGCTTCGACCCGGAAAAAGGAAGAGTCGTAGGCCGAACCGCCGCCGATGCCGAGCCGAGTGATGGGGCAGGGAGGCAGGACAGTTCTCGGGCTAGCGGGGAGGTGGAGGAGACGCGGGCGCACGATATAGTGGGGCCAACGATCAAGATCGTACAACGCCATAACGCCCAAACGGGCATCCTACCCTTGGCAATCTCAACCAGCTAAGGTCTTCAGATGAGTCCAAGCCACCGACGGCTGCGAGCGGGAAAGGACGGCCCGCAGGGGCGTCCAGCGCTGTGCCATGACCTCCACGGGGGAAGGGACAATCTCGGGAAGGAACGCTCTCGACCTTCGGAAAAATCAGAAAGGAGCATGATGATGATAGGGAGGACGGAGAAGCAAGGGATCAAGCCAATGTGGACGATGAGGGGCAGGAAAAAGAGCGGGTTGGGGAAGGAGGAGGACGAGGACGAGTGGGAGAAGTGGGACGAGGACGGGGGGCAGGATGAGAAACGGAGAGAGGTATGGGCTAGGATGATTATGTCGGAAGTGAGATCTGGTAGGCTTGCCCACACGCGAAAAGCTGTCACTCAACTTGTGGATGCTTGATTGTTCCTGCTGCCACCTGCAAAGAACGACTGAACACAGAAACAAACATACCGCACAACCAGACTTCCGCTTGGGTACCTCGACTGGCCTGCCGAAACTACAATTCGCCTGCGGCAATCCTGGGTATTCGTCCTGAACCGCGCCCGAAACCACGCATACAAATGCGGTCTGTCCGCGTATACTCGCCAGCGCCCTTGCGTGACCATTCTGTTCGGAGGCGATCTGTCCTGTTATGCAAGTCGGTGGCCTTCGAGGTTTTATATGTTCATGTTTCTTTGAAACCGGTCGCCGTTGATGTCTGGTGCACCTGTTCGGAGCAGACAGACACCTGCACAGCCATTCCAGCGTCATCCCCGACGTCGTGAGGACGGCGCAAGTCGCGCTCCGATCAAACGCTCTGCAGAGGGCTGGGCCCAGGGTGCCCTCTCGGGAGGCCGCGAGGTGTCCATAGTGTCGCCTGCGAGTGCCCGAGGCGGCCCCAATGTTGCCCCGAAGTGCCACTGCGAAGACTGCGAAAATACTGCCCTCCCCAACCTGCGGGTCAAACACTCATAAGCATCACGGTATGTTTTCCGTCCGGCGCAGCTGAAGGCCGTGCGCGGCCAGCCGGATGTGACAATTGAGGGTCAAAGAGCATGCAAACTTGCATCTTGGGTTGTCGTGGCGTGCAAATCTGTGAGAAATGTTGAGCCCTGGTCGAGAGCCATGGCCTCAGCGACGAAGGAAGATACAACGTCGACCTCATCCAAAAACACACCAGCCATAGAGACAATTTGCGAACCGTCCCCCCAAACAGCCTCGAGGATCCAAGCTGCTGCGGAGCACGCGTCGCCCCGGCGACCGCCGTCGCAATGGGCGACAAGATTCGCGTCTCGAAGCTGACGGCTGGCAGCTAATGGAAAAGATTTCTGCCAAGAGCGTTTTTCGTCCATGGTGAAATTTGCTAGGTGGTCCGCTTTCACACTGAGCTCGCGGCGCCTCCACACGACAGGATCCGCATGGCACTGATGGGGCAGGACGCCTTTGTCGAATAGCGTTGCCAAGCGGGTGCAAATACGGTTGAAGATGCGGCAGTGGTCGGAGCCGTCCGGGAGGATGTTCCCCATGATGACCTCAACTGAGGGGTTGACAATCACAGATGATGATGACACGACCTGCGCCGGCCTCCCAGTTGATCGGCTCATCGTGGAAGTTGATGGCTGCATGTGTTGCTGGCAGGTCCTCCAATGTATATCTCTTCACCCGGAGTCGTTCGGGTGGAGGGTAGTCCTGCACGACCGCCTCCGTTGTCGCCCGAACGCACCCCACGACTGGGAGTCCCCATTGGCGGCAGATCCACGCGCTAAACTCCCCGAAATGCCGCATCCACTCCTGTAGGGAATGGCAACCGTCGCGGACACTCCTCCAATCGACGCCGAAATAATCACAAAATACATCTTCCCAGTGAGAGAAATTGCCTCCAGTGGCGTGGACCATACTCAATCGCAACCGTTTCTTGCATTCTTTGGCATGTTTATACTGTTCCCACCAATCTCGCGCGCGGAAAGTCCGGCTCTTCCTCAAAAGTTCAGTTCCGGCACTGCATGGATGCATGCGCGGTATCTACGAACATAATGGGGCCCATATGGAACTGAATGCAGCAGCAACGAGCCAGCAAGGCAGAAGCAACGCGGCGCAATGCGAAGCATTGTAATGCAGACGCATGGCCAATGCAGAAACAACATGCGTGCATCCCGAAATCGATACGACAGCCCCGCGCTGTAACGCAATGCCACGCAACGCAATGGAATGGGCAGCGATGCAACACCAACGCAATGCATGCGTAATGCAAATGCAATGAGACATACAACGTAGCGCAAACTTACCAAGGACCGACCCCACCGATTCGGGGCGAGAGGCGATATTCGGGCTAAGGCTCCCGCCCAACAAAACGAGCAACGAAACGAAACGAACGACGAAACGAACGCTCATAACTACAGCTCGGGCTACGGCAAAACCTCAAGACCAGGCTGAAAACCAAGCCAGCAACGGAACCACACGAACGGGAGAGGCACGACGAAACGACACACACAAAAACAACGCCCGAGAACAGCGCCAGGCCGAGGAGCGATATTCGGGCTTATGCCCTCGCCCCACGAAACGAACAACGAAACGAAACGAAACGAAGCGAACGCCAAGGCTGGAGGTCAGGCAAGGCGCAAAACAAACAACAAAAGGGAAACGAAACGAAACACCATCGGGTGATCCAAAACGACAACAAAACGATCAACGAAACGAAACGTCAAGCAGTAACCGATGTAATATCGGCAATTGCTTGGTAAGAACGTCGGCGATATCCTTACCAAGCGCAGTCAGACAATCGATGGTCAACGGCGGCGCGAACACACAACGGCCAACGAAACACGCCACGGAATGAACGGGGCAAACAAAACGAAAAACGAAACGCAAACTTGGATCCATGACAAAACAAAACAAAGAACGAAACGCGCGCCAACAAAAAGACGTTTTAATTCAAATGCGTTCAAAACAACAATGAACAACACAACGAGGCAACAATGAAACCGAAAACGAAAAACACAACGAAGTCAAACACCAAGCTAAACAGCGTTGTGGTGGGTCCTTGAAAACTACACGATTGCGATCACCAGACAGATCCTGCCACACACACACACACGTGCGACAAGCAATGCAAACGCAGTGCAACAAGCAATGCATAAATGATGCAACCCAAGTGCAGTAAACCAACAGTGCCACCCAATGCAAAACAATGGAATCGCAATGCGGCATACATGCAACCACACTGCAACAACGCAATTGCAACACAATCAGAACGCTACGCTGTTCAATGTCATGGCATGCCATTACACTGGCAACACTGTGAACTATGATATGGCATGCACTGCGATGACATTTATGCTCTGCCGTGCTGCAACCTGTCACGCTCTGCGAATGACGTGTTGCGCTAAATGCGTATGATATATGTAATGCTGTGCCAGGCTATAAAATATGTTCTACGCGATGCAATGATTGTGCGAATGCGAACTTACGCAGAATCTGCACGATGCACTGTCGGCCACCACAGCCGAATACACGACGACCAACCTTTTTGGCTTAAGAGCAATCGAAACGCATGGGCAAAGCCTGACTGGGGGAACACACTAACAGGGTGTCTCAGTGCGCTTGTCCCCCAGACTTTTCGGCCGGAGCTGGCCCAAGAAAAGCTTTCAAAAGCCCCATGGCCGCACCGACGGCCCCGGGAAGTTACCAAGACTGTCCAAAAATAATACCCCAAGACGGCTCGAGACATCTCCAAATGGGGCCCAGACCGTCCCAAAAGAACTCAAGGACGGCCGCAATACCCAGCCGGACGACTTGAATATGGTCCTACCGATCTTCTACACATGAGCTTGGTAGAACCATCGCGCACCAGGAGGTCCCGAGATCCGAAGACATCGAGCATGCCCTCTAGAACTCCCCGAGAGGCGATCGAAAAATTCCCAAGAAATCCACAGAAGGCCCCCCCAAAAAACCCGTAAGAAGTCTTCAAGAACCCCCCTCCCAGGGCAACGGATCAACCATGCAACATCATGGCAACGCCACGCTGCAGCATCGTAATGCCCCAAGGCCGAAGGTGCTACTGAGCTGCTCGGGAGAGCTAAATGGAACCATCCTGCATGTATTCCGACGCTGCGCGGTCTCGGTGGCAAGACTCGCTGCAGGCAGCTGAGTACATTGTCACATGCGCATGCACATGCACGACTGCACGAACGTACACATGCAAGCACCACATACACACACACATATGCAAATTTCGAGTCATACGCGCACGCGCGTATATGGATCGTGCACGCACGCATACACGTACACCTGCAAGGACAATTACATGTTCTGATGCACGCGTACACGTGCGACATCCCATGCAACTTAGCACTTGCATCTTCGTAGGCGAGCGTGTACACGCCCACGTTCACCTCGTACGGGCTGGCGCACTCTCTCGCTTCGGGTGCCCGCCTCCGTGCCCGGCGTAGCGGAGAGGCGCACCGAACCGTCCTCGAACACGTGGACGCCTCGGAGAAGGCCACTACTTTTCCTTTCTCTCAAAGTCCCGCAAATCTGCGACATGAAAGAGTGACCATCGACCAGAGTGATTTGGTGCGCGGTGACTCCCGAAAGCAACGCACCGAAGGTCACCCCGACGAAAAGTCATTTACGTGTAGCCACGCCAACGGGGACTCCGATAAGCCAAGGCAGTGGCGCAACCGAGAAGAGTACAGCCCTGGCACGAAGCATCCGCCGGTTCGCCGTTGCCTCCCGCCTCCCGCCGCCCTGGTTCTCTCATCCTCTTCCCTGCGGGCGCTCCTCCGCGAGCTCAGTCGGGTTGGCCGAAAAGCCACACCCTCTGGCGTCGAGGACAACCTCGCTTGGCAGCACACTAAGCCAGTCACCTGCGCGCCCAACCCCGCCGCCGATGACGCCGACGCGCAAGGCGTCGCCTGGCTCTGGCCGCAAGACCGTAGTGATGTGCCGCGCACGCCGGTCGCCTGCAGTGGGGCGAAAACAAGCGGACTGCGCAGGTATGTGCGTGACGGCGTGATATGGGATTCGGTGCGGTGCGACAATATGGTGGGGAGGCGAGCGTGGCTGTATGGCATGCCGCGCCGCCCCTGCGCGCGGGAAGGGCGGCGATGGCATGGCCGCGACGTATCTGGGTTGGGAAGTCTGGACCGCAGCCGCAGAAGTATCTCGAAAAGCGTCGCGCATTTCCTGTTAGGCCGCGGGGTCCGCATTCAATATTGCAGTGGCCTACTCTTGACCATCCAATGCTTCGACCGTCCTTGATTATTATAGCGGCCGCATGGGGTACGTACCAGAAAAACGCATTTCGCCCAAAACTTGCTCTGAAACTACTATTTGGTGGCCGTCGATAACAAAAACTGACCTGATGATTTCTCATACTATCAGAGAGTAGCGATCTAGCGAGGCACCTCCTCGACGAGATGTTCCTGGCTCCATCTTAAAATGCTGCAAGGCAGTGATGATTTCGCTTCACACAATAATAGAAACACGACTTCTGGCCCCATTCCATGCCGCCACCAATACGGATTTTGTCCGAAGGCCGTTCGAAGATCGTTTACTCAGGATGGATCATCGGTCGAAGATGGACGGCCTATAGAATAACAAACTTCTAATTGGCGGCCATGTCGTAAAATGCCGACCAGGTATTTTGAACTGGTAGGCTGCTAGATATGCGATGGGTGAGGCGTTGGCGATTCGTAGGCAGTCTTGGGCTGGTAGGGATACTCGCTGATGAATGTGTGCCAATTCACACATTGTTAATCGCAAGCACATGTGCCAAAACGGGTTTATACGCTGGTCGGCGTTAGGTAGGTGGGTCTGCATGGGGGACATGCCATGATATATGTAATGGGACACTGGATGTACGTAGGTAATTGGCCAGTGGTGCAGTCCTGCATGTATGTGACATGTTGGTGTCACGTCATATGAAAAAAAGGGTACTTCCCAACCCAGTGCTTGCATCTAGAGGTTCCTACTTCGGTTGTGGCAAGTCGTGGGCGCCTCGTGGGCGCCACGTGCGCTGGGTGAATCTGCCAAAATTTCGCCTGGTG